TATGAAGGCGCGTGCTCGACGTCCGTCGATATGAGAGTGGGCGTGTGTCCGAAGCCGAATCCCTTAGGCCCAAAGAGTTTGCCGTAACAGGCGCGACAGTGGATCTCCCTGTCTGGACCGTCGCATGCGAGCATCGAGTCCAGGGGTCTGTGACACTCGGCGCAGTTGAAGCACTTCTTGTGCCACATCGTGCCCTTGGCCAGCTGCTGTTCAGCCATGAACACCATGCCACCGCAACGGGGACAACCCTTGCCGGCCGGGGCTGGGATCGACGTCGTGTCCGGGTTGTAGAATGGACGGGTGGCTGAGATTTCGTCCTCCCTGGGGGACGATAATTCACCTCGTTTTATTCATTTGCCTTCCCTTTCGGCCCTATTTCTCATCTTTTACGCGCGCGTCTCCGATTCTCAATAGAGGCCAAATTGATTTTACGATAACGCACCTGCGGCCATTAACGCTTCAATAATAAATTTACGTTACTTTTTACGACGAATTTCTATGGGAAATACGCGCACGCTTAATTCCCACATTCTCACCGATAATTGCTTAATCGTCGTACAGGATTTTTCGTTCAAGTCTTCCCTATTATTATTACTATTATTATTATTATAACGACATTTACATATTATTTTATATAAATCTTGGCTACCCAATACGTCGCTATATTAGTTTATTAAAATGGACACGAGATCAGACATTAATATTGCTCGAATGTATTTGTATTAATAGATTATATCGTAGGTGCTTTTCAGCTTTCCCAATCGAGTGTCAATGGACAATAATTTACAATTCCTTCAAAATCTAATATGCATTATTAAACCTCTCTCGGCACGGTTTTTCAAATTCTAATAATTTATGTAACGCCAAAAGTGTAGAAGAGGCGAATAAACAGAGCGCAGGCTTCTATACAATGGAAAGCCAAATTATCGAAAATGTTTAAATACGTCGCTCTTTGTATTGTTAATATCAAAAGACAACGAGATTCGATAAAAATGAAGTTTGCATGAAGTTAGAATAAAAAAGAAGGCGGTAATGTCAAGGGATTGCGCGTTACTACTATATTCTCTCATCTTCTTGCACTCTCTCACTCTCTCGCCTCCTCTCTCACCTCCTCTCTCACCTCCTCTCTCACCTCCTCTCTCACCTCCTCTACGTCTCTCTATACGCGACTCACGTGAGGCCGTCGGTTTGGAGGAATCCGGAGCCACAGGCGAATCCGTATCCGTGGGGTCCCCACTTCTTGCCGTAGCAGGTCTTGCAGTAAACGTCCTTGTCCGGGCCGTCGCAGGCTATGATCGAGTCGAGGGTCTTGGTGCAGTCCCGGCACTTGTAGCACTTTCTGTGCCACTCGCGGCCTTTAGAAAGCACCTGCTCGGCGGCGAAGACAACACCGCCACAGCGAGGACAACCCTTGCCGGGCGGGGCCATTATCGCCGCGGTGTCGGCCACCAGGGCGCGCGTCGACGACTCGTTACTAATCATTAAGCACACATTCTCAGCCAACTGGTAATGTCAACTGGGCCTGGCCGTCATCGTGGACGACGGCACCGGTCATCTCACATTAAGCGGCCCCGTACGTCACGCGCCGGCCTTACCTTCATGGCCGCACGAAGCTACTAATCGTCCAGCTACTCTACTTTATCACTTCCTTTATTCAATGCTCGGGGCTTAAACTAATTTCTTTTTCATCAGGCACCTGGAGCGACTTGGGGACGCTGCCTACTCTCTTTTTCGTTTTATACATGACCGAAGCATAGGCATGCAGAGGTGATTGGTCGCGATCTGTTTTAAGAAGAGGAGAGTCGATATGTCTATCGGCGCTGGACATTTTATATTGGTTTTAGCAGAATCGTGCGACCATAAATTTAAGGCATTCGGACTTTTCCTAACGAAAGCAATAATTCATTATGGTCTCGTTGAGGTGAATATGAGGCGAAAGCAATAAGATTTATTCAAATTTTTTATAAAAATTTAGGCAAATTCGTGAATTTTCGCTTTTCAAAGCCTAATAATGTAGGCACTTTTAATAAATTTATTGTTCTATTATTTACTGAAATGAAAACCATTGTTGTAATTTACAGCTTTCGTTACTTGGAAAACATAATTTAATAATTAATCAAATGCTAGATTAAAAATACCAAGGAATTAAATATTTTAGTGTGTTAGTCTTTAAAATGTCAAAGTGAAGAGTATTTAATGAAATTAGACTGAAATTTTATTTAATAATCATATATTATATATCTTATTTTGGTATAAAATCGGACTTTAAATGATAACGCACAACAATTTTTTTTCTCTTTCTTTTTTTATCATTTGTATAAGATATTAACGAACACGGTGTCATGAAATTCTATTATCAGTGTTTCTATTATTTATTTATATAGAGAACAATTTAACGATTACGTTTCATTATATCAATATCTATTTATCGAAATTTTAACTTTTTTTTTTTTTTTTTTTTTTTTTTCATATAAAAGTAATGGGAGGCTTTGTGATACGATTTTCTACTTTATTATATATACTTTATTATATTATATATTGCGAATTATTACAATGGTTATTACTAAAAATTCATTAATATTGATTAAAATCATGCGGAAGTAATGAAAATTGTGTAAAGTAAAGTAAAATAGAATTTTCAGAAATTATTCAGTTGAATAAGAATTTGTGACATTTTTGCATTAAAGTTGAATCGTTCAATTCTCTTTATCTTATATTTTATGAGTTCAAAAAGCTCAATATTAAAAAGTCTTCATGAAATAATAAAATTTAATATTTAATTAATAAATTTATTTAATAGAGAAATAGAAAAAGTGATTTGTCATTTGTTCTTTCCGCTATTAAAAAAAAAAAAAAAAAAAAAAAAAAAAAAAAAAAAAAAAAAAAAAAAAAAAATCATACAACATTATGAGTAAACACACGTTGCATGCAAATACATCATAATTGTGAGAATATGAAAATTTTGAGATAAGATTTTTAATTAGTACGTTGGATGTGAATATCCACAAATCAATAATTATGCTAATAATGCTAAGACAGTGGTTATGTAGTATTTTTAAGCAAAATCACAGGACACTGATTTATAAATTAGGATAAAGAACAAAGCAATAAGTACTGCTAAGCATTAAGGTAATAAGAAATGGCAGCCTACAAAAATATGTAATTTAACTCACCAACGAATAAAATGGTGGGTGTGGGTTATTCGCAAAAAAAAAAAAAAAAAAAAAAAAAAAAAAAAAACAAATTAGCTCTATAATGTTGTAGACGTATTTTAATTTTTAATTTAGAAAAATCAATTTTGTCTCAATTCGCTAAAAAAAGTTACTAAAATCATATAGTAATAAATCAAATAGTACACTTATTTATTATTATTATTTTTTTTTTTTAATTGTGAAGAATAAACGAGGATCGAATAATTTTCAACTTATTGCTAAGAAAAATGATGGTAAATATATTTAATAAGAATTTAATGTACTTTTTGAAATATAAATGTAGAAGAGACACGTTTTCTACTTGTCAATCAGTGCAATTTCACATACATCGTTAACTGCAATCTATTTTATTATGCCTGAAAATGATGAAATCGGCTTCAATTTACTCAGCTAATTCAATGTCTCATAAAATTATAATATTCTACCAGCAATATACTGATTAGTTAAAATTAATGTTTAAGCATCGTCCGGCATAATTTTCGCAATTATTCTCGAATACTTGGACAATGTTGAATTTAAGATTGTTAGCTAAAGGCAATATTCATAAAGGCCGTCAATGACTGTTTGAATTTAATTGAAAATAAAATAATTATTATGCGAAAGGGGAAATTTCTCATCGCCACGGGGATAATTATTAGTAATAAAAAAAAAAAAAAAAAAAAAAAAAAAAAAAAAAAAAATAATAATAAATAAAAAAAAACGCAATAATCGTGTGGTTAGCAGGTTGATGGAGACAACAGTTAAACTTAACGTTATAAATGGAAATATAGGAAGCAGGAGAATAAAAGTACCAGTTGTCAGGTAATCCGCTTAAAAAATTGAGGACAAACACGTCAGCGTAATGCTTGGTCAACGATCGTAGCCCACAGCAATGGATGGATCGATCGTATGGGTTAAAAAATTTAAACCACATAACTCCACATTGGTCGATAAAAGTTAAAGCTTTAAACGTAATATGATCATTGCACGTGAGCGTGTCTGTATGGAATGTTGAGCGCGAGCATTCACGTTAACCGGCAAAGCCGAATTGATGCGAGACTTTCGAGGAAATTGAGCGAATATTTTATGACGCGAGACTTCTGGTACTTTTAGCTCGGTTGAAAACGGCAAGAAGCAACGGGGTTTTCCGTACCCCTCGTCCTCTATATCGCTCTGCAGCCCGATCCACATGATTCCGGCATGACCAATTCCGCGCGGACCGAATTTCTTCGGATAGCAAGCTGTTAAGCAGAGAAAAAAAAAGACAAAAAGCGCATCATATATAATGTACAATGAGTGATGTAGAATGAAAAATAATTGAGATGACGATGAAGAATGCTTGAATGGTAGTCGTGGTTGTAGGTAGAGGTAGGTAGTCGTAGTAGTGACAATAGTGGCAGTATTATTATTAGTATTAGTACTAATATTAGTACTAGTATTAGTACTAGTATTAGTAGTAGTATTAGTATTAGTAGTAGTAGTAGTAGTAGTATTAGTAGTAGTAGTAGTAGTAGTGGCAGTGGTAGTAGTAGTAGTAGTAGTAGTAGTAGTAGTAGTAGTAGTAGTAGTTGTAGCGGTGACAGTGGTAGTGGTAGTAATGGTAGTAGCGATAGGTAGTAGTAGAAGTGGGACAAGTTGTTGAATAAGAACAAGAAGATGTAGAAGTTGAAGAAGATGCGATGCCGAGAAAGACGTTGCCGAGGAGCGACCGACGGTCTACGTCGCCGTAAATCATCAAGTCATTTAACCGTAAAAATATGACAATTTTCATGTGAAAATGTCAAATTCGCCACACAATCGCTCGATACGTCCAATAATCTCGCAAATAATTTCTTAATTGTCGCTGGCGAAATAATGCCCTCGTTTTGTAAGCGATTGCTTGGACTTTACGATATATTGATATAAGGTAGACCGAGATAGCGCGCTAGGGACGAACCACTTGTCGATTAGATTACGTCGAAGCATTCGACCTGGACCGTCAAATCCGGCAATTATTTACGGTTCCGCGTATGGGAGACCCGGCACTTTTCATCTTCCCAGCTAATCGACGTCCGAGACATGGAGGCAGGCGAGACCGGTAATTGCGTGGCAGCCCGCGAACCCTCGGGGATAGCGACGACGTCGCGCTCATTGTGTGGCGTCGCGGGGCTCTCGCTCTCGTTGCCGGCGACGCGACGCCCGGTCGTCCTCGTCGGCTCTCGTTATCTCCTCGGCTCGTAAAAAAAGACCCACCCGTAGGCGTAGCAGTCGCTCTGCAGGGCGCCACCACCTTGGCCGTAGCCGTAGCCTTTAGGGCCGAACTTCTTCCCGTAGCACACTGGAGGATCATCACGCATTAGAGGTCATAGCGTACCTTATAAATGTCGCAGCCCGCAAACGATGCGATACACCCGGCGGATTCGCGACCCGACCACGAGGACAATCGCGCTCATTATTACGCGGTCGGGACTGGCAGATGGTTTTGAGATTGGGGTTGATTGTAAGGCTTGCGCCGCTTGGGTGGGAGGTTCCGAGGCGATTTAAGTAAGTGAGTCGACATTAGGGTGCATTGCATCGTTGGCACGATAAGCGCGTCAACCGCGTATCTCACCTTTGCAATAGATGTCCTTATCGGGACCTTCGCAGCAGTTGCGAGAGTCCAATCTCTTGGAGCAGGTGCCACACTTAAAGCATTCTCTGTGCCATTGCTGCATGGGGGACAAAGGGGAACGTGAGTTAGTCACTGTGTGTTCCTCGGATAAACGGGGATTTGGGGGGTTGGGGGAGGGGCGATGTATTTTTGTGTGTGTGTGTGTGTGTGTGTGTAGGGGAGGGGGATAGAAGAGAAAAAGACTATGGACCTTAACATGTTATTTAATCAACGATTTACTCTCTATTAAATGATGTATTTCGAGCCAACGATTTAAACGCCACCGTCTGTTCATTCAATAGGCAAGTTCGTTCGCACTCTTACGAAAAGGGATATTCATTATTACTGACTCGACGATAACAATAACAACAATAATAATAATATTGAGATTAATAATAATTATAATAATTATAATAATAATAATAGTCATTTTACAACGTCATTAGTCAATTTTTATAATACATTCTTAATGCTATTGATATTTAAATTATACGTTATTAAAGTAATTAATATAATCCGTATGAAACAGTAATAGTGGACATCTTTTTCATGTAGGCGAAACCGGAGGAAATAAGAATACTATATTTAAAGGCTCATTACAAGATTAAAAATAATTCAATTACTATTTATTCATTACGTATTTAATACTTAAGAGCTTTTGCGATTTTCATTATTCTCCAGCTCGATTATTATCATTCGCGATTGATCAAAATCAATACAATACTACTTAAAAATCTAATTTAATCTTAAATATGTTAATATATTAAAATACGTTTCATTTTCTTTCTACTTTTTCTTTCACAATGCATATTGTTTAAATCATACAAAATCTTAACATAATACTTACGTTGGTCCTTTGTAACCGAACAATTATGCTTATAGCACATATTATTTATTTATAATATACAATTAAGAGATACAGATAAGTAAAAAATTGGTATTAGTACGAGAGTACTATAAAAATATTTTCTTAACAAACGCGACAAATGAATCGATGTAATTATAGACATAAGGTCATAAATATTTGTCAATAAAGCGAATTCAAAATAATAAGTAAGCAAGTAGTGCCAACAATATATAGTTGCATGGAATGATTTTTGTTGTTGTTGTTGTTGTCGAATCTGAAATTTTGCAAAAACGAGCAGGAGGCGAACATTGGGGAAAAAGGTGAAAATGAAAACATTGTTGATTCGAGCTCAACTAAATCCAGGCGACAATCCGACAGCTTTCACAAAGCAGCCGTGTGCCGCGGATATGTATACGCGCGCGCGCGCACACACGCATATGCATATGCAGACAGAAACCAGAGGAGCAGAGCGAGAAAGAGAGAGAGAGAGAGAGAGAGAGAGAGAGAGAGAGAGCGTGAAATGAACCGTGCACGCAGGGCTGAAAGAGAGTGTAAAGGGGGTTGCGAGTGATTGGGCGAATAGCGCGATGTTTGCACGTACGTTCGACGTGGAATCGGCACCGGCCAAGAGCTAATAGACCGAGCGACAAAATCCGCTGGCTTAAACACACATACACGCGCGCGGGAGTGCGCGTGGCCTCGATGAATGAAATTAACGAGGGCTAGTTTATCCGTGCGCTCGTGTGTTTTTGCAAACGATGAACCTGTCCCGACGTTTTTCTCCCACCCCTCGACTCTCGCTCGCTCCACCCTCTCCAACCCGTCCCGTCCCGTCCCGTCCCGTCCTGTTCCGATCCGTCCCGTCCTGTTACGTCCCGCGCCCTCCCCTCGCCCACCATTATAAATTTATAAGAGTACAGACAGGGGCTGGGGACGCAAAGACGAGGGGCTGCTTATGTACATGGTGCCATAAGCATGTGGGAGGGGATATAGATTTATACCGCAAGAGTCCTGGGGCAACAATCGGCACGTGTACGTGGAAACACCAACATAATGCCTTAATTTTATTTTTGAATTTTCTAGATCCGACCGACATTCCAATTTTAAAGGGGTCAAGTGGCCGGGACATGGTTATGGTTTTCGTTATAAATCGTACCTCTAATTATGGGAACGAGGTGCGTACTCTTAGCGCCTGGAGGAACATTTAAAAGACTATAAATTTATTGGGCATAAATGAAATTTGCCATACCATTATGACGATTTTCCAATATAAGTTGCAATATGTCAGATTCTAGTTGTATTCGTAATAAAGCTCTGGTCTTTTTAAACTGTTATTATTATATATTCTGTTCGACAATTATGCTGGTAATACGTTTCGCTGTGGCGTTTAAAATATTTCTCGAAAATTAATTTAAATCATAAAACTGACTCGATCGAGTAAAGCGACAATTTTTAGACTTTAATGTTTCGTTTCGGCGTATAAATGTAATAACCAATTTGAAATAACGTGCTCCAATATTATACTTGTATTAGAAATTAGATAAATGTTAAAATTTTGTAGGTTAAACGGCATTGAAATGTAGTATAACTTTTCAGACGCGATTACATATATAATAATTTACGAATAATTTCTAAATAAGTACTTCAGGATGAAAATCACGTACATTTAAAAATAAATTTTTTAGTGCACAAGAAAAACACAGTGATTAAACAATAATTACCAAACGGTAAAATCGACAATTATGTTTGCAAATAGTGATATATAAAAGTAGTAATTTTGACAAAGAAAGTCTAAGAATACAGGGATACGTATATAAGTAAGAATGTTTAATCCAGTAGAAGGAAAAAAAATGAGAAGTGAGTATTTGTTTGTTTGTTTGTTTGTTCGTTCGTTCGTTTTGTTTTTGTTTTTTAAATTAATTAGTTTTAGTGATAGGACGAATATCAAAATATACCTCGACAATATATTTCGCGATCGGGACCATCGCAATGTAACGTGGAGTCCAGAGTCCGCTGACAGATTTTGCACTTGTAGCATTGTTTATGGTAGGCCTAATCATAAGAAGCAACAATGACTACTTGACTACTCGAATGTTCTTGCTTCTTGTTTTATCTCGATTGAATGTTCATCATATCGCGCGATTAATAACTAATATCAATTTATTATTTCAATCTTCTTGCTCATCGTGTCATTAGCGTACTAGGCTTATGTAATACAATTTCATATATAATATTCTTGTTTAGAGCGCACATTGCATTATGTCGATTGAAAGACAATCATTATTGCTTTCGTTAAAATCTATATAATTCATAATAAATTCAGATAGGTATTTGATTTTATACGTATATTTTAATGTCTAACCGATACGAATGTCGTATGAAAAATAATGTGATTTTATAAGCTGTTGAGTTGCTATGATAGATTATATAAAATATGAATCTAATGTTCATGTAATTTTATTATGTGTACATACTTTTTTAAAGAATTAACGAGAGCATTTTAATGAGAGATCGTTAAAATTGTGCTTACAAGAAATTATTAAAAATAACTGTATTTATTTATTAAATGAATCTTAAACTAGGCGATATAGCGTTGGACGTTATATGTCAACAAACAATTTAACGGCAATTCAAAAGAATAATAAGTAAAATATAATATGATTTCTAGAAGATGGTAAATCTTAAGCTGGCAAGATTAATATATTGTATTTCTTTAAAAGAAATACACCCGAGACTTAACTATCTTCCTTAACTATCCATTTAGGAAACGAGCATTAAGCATTTTATATACTATATTAACAATTGCTAAAGGCAGAAAAAAAACCTTGCTTTGAGCGTTTTTTATCGAATGTCATATAATGTTAAAAAAAAAAAAAAAAAAAAAAAAAAAAGGTTAAATATTACAGTATCAAGGTACTTTATTTTTCCGACTAATATTATTTACTCATTTGGAATACTTGTATTCATCTTTCTTCTTTACGTATCTCCTTTTATCGTTTATCGATTTATTTACTTGGAATAATCCACTTGGAATAATGAGAAGAAAAACGTATTTTAATATTCTTTCCTGCCTCCCTCCCTCTAACTCTCACACTCTCACACTCTCACACTCTCTCACTCTCTCAATCTATCTCTCTATCTTTCCCTGTAGATGCAGGGTTTTATTTAGAGTAATGTAAGAATAAGTGTGAGTATCGTAGTGCCGTTGGTTGGTTAATAAATATTTCTTGGCGCCGTACGTTTGATTCCATCGCGACAGTTGGGCAAGAACCGGAGCGCGGATTCTAATTTTGGAGCTGGCATCATTTTTGGGGCCGCGTGCGTCGCCCGACCGCCGGCATTTTTGGCGCTTCCGAATTTCAAAATATCCCGGCGAGTGAGAATAAAAGGAAGGAAGGGATGCGCGTGGGATGCGGTTATGACTCGGCACTATAAATGTGCTCCACTGACGATTTTCGTCGCTTGCTCCGCTCGTTTTTACTCTTACACAACATACTCGATGCTCCATAATTTTCAGTTTGCAATATTCGATTAATATTTATACTGATCGTCAAGATTATATTATTGCAAGCATTGGGTCGACTATAATGAGCTAGAATTTTTAACATTTAGGAAAATGATTTAATACCGTAGGAATCCCATTAATAAATCTGTCAATACAAACTAGCGAATGTAGCACAATATAAATTACAATATAAATTCCATAGATTCCCTTAGAGTTGCTCAGAAATTCTATAGACTTTTAAATAAATATCACATAATTGTGATATGCATACTAATTATGATATGCAAATATATATTTGATTAAAAGAAAAAAAAGAAAAAAAAAATATTGAATTGAACATTTTTAACCACATTAATATTATAAAGGTCGAATTGCATTTTTTTTTTTTTTTTTTTTGATCATATTTATACTCAGATATGTCAAGATAATCATTAAATTAAGAAGCCGTTATTTAAGAAATTATACTTCTTTCGACGAGCATTTAGCATTTCATTTGATTTCAGGGTGGCAAGGAATGCTGCTTCATTACAGTCGTGAAAACCTTAGATTATACCTAGAATGCCAGAGGAACCTATATTTATAAAAATTAAATTATTTCACTACAAATTGCTTGGAGCTTCAACCATCGAACTTTATTACGTTACTTGGAATAGTCTGTAGGAAATAGACGGGATTGTAAATACATGGAAGAGGGTGGAATTAGCATTGTTCGATTAATCTCGTTTGCTAGCCTAAGAATATAACAGACTTAATTCAGACTTAATCTACAATGGCTTTTCGTAATCAATGAAGTTACATATGGGGTACATTTAAGAATAACTTGGTTTTTTTTCTCTCCAGAAAATATGCAATATTCACGTTTTCTCGATTATAATGCTCAATATTGAATATAAAATTCATCTTTTTTATAATTCGTTATTGCTGCAAATGCAATTACAATAATTTATCCGGCAGTCGCTTTCATAACCATTTATTTTATTTTTCGGGATGTGAAAAATAAACGAAATGACTTTGTTAATCAGACGAATGATAAACTAAATTTTTACACGATGAATTGTTGAAAGCGAGTGATTTCTAATACCTCAAATCTTCATATAGTTTATCAATGTTTAGACACGTGCATCAATACCCAAAAAATCATTTTTTCAATTTGGCAATAAATTAACTCTAAAAATTGCTTTAAAAGTACTTTCTTCGTCTCTTTTTAGCCATAAATCCAATGGACTCAGTTATATTAAATGCCTCATTCCAAAGCTTCCAATGGACATGGACAGCTTCGCTTCAACCGCTTCGCAACGTCTTACTTCATTATCATTAAATTTCATTTTAATGTATCACAGTGCAACAAGTAAAAAGACTATCTGTCTTCATGGAATATCGATGGGAAATGGAAGCAATGGTCGCAGAGTCGTCGTCGACGCGCCAATTGTCCGAGACTGCCAAGGGGGTCGCTCTGGTTTTTTTTTTTTTTTCCGCGGCACCGATGCGTCTATTTTCATGCTTCACGCTTTTTTTCGGCGATTGCGCTTATGAAATTTCCGCCGTGGTTCGACATAACGCTGTGTTCCGACGCTTTGCCAGGACTGCGAGAAAGTGGGAAGGGAGAGGGAGTGCTGGATGGATATTTTGAGAACGGCTCAATTTGCTCCCCTTTGAAATAGACACCGCGCGACTGTGTCGTGGACTCGGAGACAAAGACAGAGATAGCTACATAGAGTTAGATGGACAAACAGAACGACCGATAGGTGTATATATAAATATATATATATATATATATTCAGAGAGAGAGAGAGAGAGATAGGTAAACAGACATACAGCGAGAGGGGGTGATGGAGAGCGCGGGAGGGAGGAAAGAAAACGAGAGAAATATATCAAACTACCGACTTAAAGCGCACTCTTTACTTGTTTGCGTTTTTTTTTTTTTTTTTTAACTTCCGTGAACACGCTACCACGACGCCAAACAATCAACGATTCTCTATAACATTTGAGTTTTAATCTCTTGAATGCGCTGGATTGTAATATTTATGTGAAGTATTTTTAGAATCGTTTCTGGCACGTTTTTTGCAAATTATTTTGTTACTTTGCGCACGATATTGAAACTCTCGTGTTCAATAACAGATTCTATATAATACATAAACTTTAATAAGATTGAAGGACACTGCGAGGTATTAAGTATATTCGTACGTTCATAAACGCTCTATTTATCATAACTCTTAGCGCTGATATTTATTATTTTTAATTAGAACTATTTAAAACTTGGGTAAATATTTATTTGGATACTTAAGTTTGGACTGGAAATTCAATAGTCAAATTATGAATTATGAAAGTATGGTGGATTGTAATTAGATATGCAAGCGATGCGCAGTACAGTAATGACATCAAGAGCAAGAGAGTCGATATAAAATTGTTCTAGAATTGTAAAAAAGGACATTCGACATACATAAGGCATACAGAATATTTAGTTAATAATTCCAAGTCCTTTTTTGTTCATTTTATTCTTTTTTTTTTTTTTTTTTTTTTTTTTTTTTTTTTTTTTTTATAATTTTTTCATGATTCCATCGAGTCAAGTTTACGAGTGTATTTTCCCCTTGAGATGTTAAATTTTTGAAAAAGTCCAAGCTGTTGGAATTCTCATATTTTGAATTATCGAGTAGATTGTACCGAGAATACGGCGTTCACTTTTGTATTTAAGCACGCGATACGCACAAATACTCGTGTCCGATGCAAGAGATGTATGAGAAGCTGCGAGAGTAAGAGAGTGAGACTAAGAGCGAGAGCGAATGTGAGAGATAGAGATAGAGATAGAGATAGAGATAGAGATAGTGATAGTGATATAGATAGAGATAGAGAGAGCTTAATATTCATTGAAAGTCGGGCACTTATACTTCATTGACTCTAACGTCGATTTCAATTCGGAAATCATTCGTTAATGTTTATTCTTCCGACGTGCCCAATTAATTCCCGATTAATTATTATTATTATTAGCTGCTCCTTAAAGTGAGTCAATAGTTATGTTTCAATCATTCAAACAGCCTGTCACATCTCTTTACGCGTGCGTAAAGCATTATCGTAATAAATGCGAGAAATAGTCTCGAGGAGTATTTTAGAGTATTTCTACATTCGTAAAAGTGCCTCGAGACTCGCTCGTGCTATTTTAAAAAGTACCGATCATCGCGTGTCAATCATTTAATGACGATGATACAGCAGCCTCGGGTCTGGCACACATCGGGAGCGCGACTGCGTACACAGCAACAAGTAGCTCCACGTCTAGTCGAGGTCGACCAAATGAGTGTCGCTCTAATAATATATTGCCATTACCATTCCCATTATAATTATAAATATGAACGTTACAAAAGAGCATCCAGCGATAACGAGGACGAAACGGTGACGCGCGGCCCAAGTCACGACTTGGCTGGGATCGCTCGTTTATTCCGAACTCCGGCAGCGTCCTCGCCCTCAGAGACGCGTTGCTGCTTTTCTACCTCCTCTGGCCCCTAAATATCGTCTTAGCCGAGGCAACCCATCCTCATTACCCCTCGGCGTTCCCCGTGTGAAACTCACCCTTCCTCTGGCGAGCATCTGCTCGGCCATGTAGACGTAGCCACCGCATCGTGGGCATCCCTCGCCCTCCGGGGCCTTGGCTATGGCGCGAGGCTCCATCATCGCGTTTGAAATTCTGTAGTTGTCCCTGCAAAGCCACGACACATTCTTTACTCATTGTGCCATTCTTGTGTACCACCTCCACCCCACCCC